TCGAATTATAATGTATAATTATACAGGAGAGCGTAAAAACTGTTTTTCCTGGAAGGAATTAGCTTGATAGGCGGAATTTTACAAATTTGTTGAATCAGCTCTTGAGGAAGAGTTGAGAAAGAGTTGCTTGGAACCATTTTAGAGATGCAGTGTAACATGTATTTAATCAGGAATAAAATCGAAACTTTCAAGACGCTGAGCTTATCAGTCATTTACAGTTTTGCCTGCAATGGCGTTAACTACCAGAATTGGAATCAACCGCAATGGATCACTAACACGAATGACCTTAACATACGCTCTAGCTTCCTAACTAATGAACGGACGGACTTGACGGACAGAAATCGACCCTTAACCATAAGCAGCACATCAGCCATAGACCGCTTACGACCAAGGTCCAGAAGTGAAGTAGGAAGACTGCATTTTGTGGGTGTGTGCCTGTTCATTCTTCGTTGCAACAGGCTTTGAGCCAATCAGCCGCGAACGTGCTGTAACACTTTTCACAAATATTTTCGAAATAAAGATTTCTTAAATTTCGTTCATTTGACACCCATAGAAAAATAATTCATTTGATTTGAAATTTCTAAATCGGTGATAGACCCCGCCACAAATAACATCGAACTAAAGCTTTCTTTAACTTCTCTCGTTTGATAATTAGATTGAAATATGTATGCATTTCATTTAACTTTTTAATTAAATTTATATTGCATCTTCAAAAATATTTTCGAAAAGAAGCTTTCGTAAATCTGTCCGTTTGACACCTATGCTAATTTACCTCAGTTTAAACGCGTGGCAAGCCTCTTCCAAAATATTTTGGAACTAAATCTTACTCAAAACTCTCTAATTTTCAAAATAAATCGCTTTTGAGCTCTTTCGCTTGACATTCACATTGTTGTAATGTTTTTTATTGAACTTATTAAGAAAATGATGATTTTTGGAAAAAAGTTGCAGTTTTAATGCTGTTAGTTAAGAATGTATTCACAAGAAAAAAAAATTATGTCAATTACTTAATATGAAATGAATTTTTCTCTTACTTTCTTTACAGCAAACTGTTCGGAAAGCGCTTATATCATTACGTGAAATAATTACAAAACCTATGGAAACTCACAAAAAAAAAAATAAAATTAATTTGCACAGGAAACCTACAGATCGTGAAAAATTATAAACTAATAAATGTAATTACCTATACAAAAACTTTTGGCTCTGTATAAAAAAAGAAAATTGAAAATACCGAAATTTGTAAAAAAACCACAGCAAAAGATATTTGATGCTAATTATGTGTATGTATGTAAATGTAAAGACAAAACTATAACTTCAATTCATTTTAAGTTACTATTCAACAGCTTTCAAAAAAGTTTTCAGCACACACATATTGCATACATTAGTGATCAGCTATATTTAAGAGTACTGTTACTAAACAAAAAGACCTAAATATTGTAAATGCCGCAGAATTAAATTCTAATCTATTTGTGAATGTCTTTTTCGCATGCATTAATACGCTTGAACTAGATTTTTTTTTTTTAAACTATGATCATTGTATAAATCTATTTATATATATATTTTTTTTAACTGCATAGTCGCCCTCACCACCACATATGTATGGTCACCCTTCAGCAGGCAGTTTAGTCGAAGTTTAAATTTGAGTGTATTTCGCGCAAAGTTGTTGATCTCCTTACTCAATGCGACTTAAAAGCAAGTACACGGCAAAATATAAAAATAAAAAAAAATTTATAAAAAATAAAATTAAATTTGTAAAAAACAATGCAAGCAAAGAATAATAATTCAATGAAAATATTAAAGAAATTGTGGCAATATCAGTAAATTTAAATAGTAAAAATATACATACATAAATGCATACATAACAAATAAATAAATGAATGAGTAAAAAAATAATAATAAAACACATACCTACAAGCATACATGTATACATAGTAGCTACTAATTCTAAATCACACAAATAGTTGCATATGTACACACATACACTATCGAAACGATGATATTATTTTAAACCTTAAATTGTGTTAGCGAAAAAAAGAAAACAAAAACAAAATTAAGCATACACAAGAGGTCGAATATTAAAAGAAAGTTGCAGAGTCAAAATTTGCAAACATTGTAAAAATTCATAAAGAGAAACTAAATAATTATGTATTCATGGGCGTAGCCAGGTAGGGGCAGAGGGGTGCTCGAGGCCCCCCTAACTTTCAAATTTTCCTTATACATATATAAAATAGTACCCTGAAATGCCAGCTTAATAGGGTCGAGGTCCTCCCCCCTAAATTTCATTCTGGCTACGCCGATGTATGTATTTAATATAAAAACAAAAACAAATCTTGCATATACCTACCAACTTTATATAGGTTTAGAATTGCATATGTAAAGTATTAAAAAATAATAACAATACAGTTAATTGTGAATACCTACAAACGAAGAAAAACTCGCACATGTGTTGTATGTACATACCATGAGCAAGGCCACTTTTTGCAAAATACAAAAAAAAAACAAACAAGAAACACTCATCCAAGTCAGAAATTAGAAATTTCTCGCTAAAATTAATACAGCACACCCACACACAAATAAAACAAAAATATAAAGTTTTTCAAATCATTTTAATTTTCAGTGTAACAAAAATATGTGTGTATTAGCAAATGAGCCGAAAGAAATGCAGAACTCAATTGCTAAGAAATCTACTTAACAACCAATTAGGCGAGTACGAGTAAACAAATGAATGTAAATGTAAAAAAAGGTAATATATTTGTATGTGTAGAATAAAAAATTGTGTGAAAAATAGGTGCGACTGGCCTATGAATTTAATTTAAATTTAAATTTAATTAAAGTAAAGTAGTTTAGTTGCAAAATTTGCGTTAGAAGCGACGAAAGATGGTAAAGAACAAAGAAAATAGCTAAATGAAAATGATAGCGAGCAAGTAAGATAGTTTAAAAAACAAACAAAAAAAAAATCTTTAAAAAATGCCTTGCACAGACACACGTAAGCACTGCTGCATTAGAAAAAGAATGGTGAAATTATTATTAAATAAGCTCTTGGCAACTAAATAAACGGAAAACCGCTGTACATAAAGGAGAAGGCACGCAATTTTTCATAGATATAGCATACAAGTGTACATATTTTTTGTTTCTACGGAATTCACCAAAAATTATTATTTTGTCAGCAGTGGCGAACGCGAGATTCCGGCAACACAAAAATCTTTATATTTTTTTTTTGAAAATATTCTTAATCAAAAACGTTTTTTGTTTGCTGACTAAGCTCCTATATAAAGTGATTTAAAGAAGCGCTCACATGTTAAGTTTTTTTGTGATTACGTTTTTTTTTTAAGAATACAGTTTTTAGTTATTTTTTTTATAAACATATTGCTTATTTAAAACCAAAATATCGTTGGCTTAGAGTGAAAATTTGGCAATTTTTATGAAAACTCGAAATTTGATATAGGCGCAAGGAGAAATGAAAAATACATACGTCGTTTCGAAAAGGATTAAGGTACTTGTTTTGTTTTTTTTTTCTCGTTTTATTCAATTGATGGCAAATATGCTAAGTCCAAAGAGGCACTGAAAATTCGCTAAGCACAAAATAATACGGAATCGTTTAATAAATATTTACTTAGCAACTTTTTGCTCTAAGCTAGCCATATCTCAAAGTTTCCAATTTTTTTGAAATTTTAGGGTATTAAATTAAATAGCTTTATTTGAGGCAGCTAAAAATTGGCGTAAAATTTTAATAATGTTTTTATCGCCTGTCTTTTCAACAAATGTTTTATAAAAAAAATAACAAAAAAATATTCTCAATAAAAAATTAAAAAGTCAACATGCGAACGTTTATTTGAGCCACTGTAGGATCTGTTTTCAGCGAATTTGTTCTGCTTTGCGAAACATTAATCATTTTAATACACAAAAAAAAAATTGTTATATACTATAGTTAAAAGAAAAATTAAAGGCAAGAAAAGAAATTTTAGTTTTATTTAAGTTTAAATAACATTAAAGCTGAATATTAGTTTTAGTAAAAATCGCTTATAATTTTATTTAAAAAAATAAAAAAACAAAACAAAGTAATAAGGAAAAGAGAGGAACCATTTAGATTTGGTCAACTTGAGAGCACAAAAGGAACGAGAGAGAGAGAACCCACAATCTTGCTTTATAAAATATTACTAAAATAAATTAGTTTTACTTTTAGGGCGTTAAGTCTTTTTTCATCACATGAACAAAGTCAACCCTCACCAGCTTTCTCCACGCTCTCCTTCCCGGTGCCCTTTATTGTTAGATCAAATTTCGTGCGGATAAAGGTGTGTTTCCTGTGCGTAAATAATGCGTGGCATGGATATGTAAAAAGTAAATTTTGATTTTATTTCGCAAATAAGCGCTGCTACTAAATATTATTTTAGTTTGTACACATTTTTCCTTTAAAATAAAACACACACACACATAATTATAACTAAAAACCGAAAGCTTGCTGTACATTATTTAGTTATACATATCAGCAAGCCAAGAATTTTATTCCGTGCGTGCATCTGTGTAAATTTTTGAGTTGTTTTAAGCGCTAAAATTCTATATTACTTGTATAATGTTTTGTTTATACAATATAGTATATAAACTTACACACACACACACACATATACAAACAATTAAATGTACGTATGTATGAATTTGCAATTATTTTAATTGCACAGTTTATTTTAATTACTATAATTATTATAATTAAAATAATTACTTTCCTTCTGTTTGTATGTAGTATTGTTTGTTTTACCCTGCAAAAAGGAAAAAAAGAAAGAAAGAGAAAATCATACTGAAAATTTAAAAAAAGTACGAGTATGCGGAATAAACTATGTAGATGTATAATTTTAATTAATTTACTTATAATTACACTATTATTAGTTATTATTATTATTATATTATTAAAACAATTATTGAAATAAAGAAATGAAGGATTTTAAAGAAAATTTAAACACAAACACATTCGTTTTTTATTTATTTCGTTATTTTTTGGTTAAATTTTGCTTTGTTCGATTCTCTTGGTCTTGCTTTTATATGGGTTACAAAACTGGTTTTTCACTTTGCGTACATACATACATATTGTTACCTAAACGTGAAAACTTGCCAAGGGCACTTTTTTAATTTTTCAGGAGAGACGGAAAATCGACTTTCGCATTTTCTGTCGTAAAACTAAATTTAGGAAAAAAGAGGGCTTGGCACCTTTTCGCTTTAGGTAGCGATATGATAATCAGTTTACGAATTTGAAAGATTTCAATGTGGAAAGGTTTTAGGTTTTTTCTTTGAAGACACAATCAAAACAACATTCAGTTGTCAGACCTCACCATACTTTTTTTTTACATTGGGTTTCAAAAAAATGGGAAGATAAACAACTTATTTTGCAATTTTTTTTTACAAAAGCTAACAGACTCTCTTCAATGATGCAAGATTTATTAGCCTTGAAACAGCATCCTTATTTGGCATTTATTTTTCGTTATTTTGTGAGAGCTGCGCATACATACATAAATATTCAATAGTAACATCACAAAATTGTAGGATATTTATCGGTAACTTCGTACTTTGCGCTCGGGATTTTTACCCCGCAAAATTTGGTACTTTTGAAGCACGTGTATTATTCAACTGATTATTTTCCCACTCGGATTTTGGCCAAGCACTATGCTGTGAATAGCATCCGAAACGAGCAGAATGGCAAAGCGAACATTTTAAGGGCTTCACTTCCCTTACAAACAAAGTTCTTTACTTCTGCAACATTCCCGGGGTTTCCTTCTTCCTTGGAGCTTTTCATGTCGAAGATATAAGCCTTTATCAGCAATAGTTTTGCTTAGTAAGTATCTTCTCTCATCGGAAAATTACCTCCAAACCCAGGTACATTGGTTGATGTAGAATTCCATATATTTATATTTATATATATATGTATAAAAAAGCGATAGTTTAGAGACAAGATTCACAAAAAAAGTCAAATCAGCTGCTCTGCTCCTGCTACCTGCTCAATACCGGCCTTGCTCCACACAGAATATCCAACGTAAAATACGTGGAAACATAAAAAACGTTTGAAAATAGTGAAATTCCGTCGGATGTTTTTTTTTTTAGAAATTTCACGAATGATCAATACGGGACAAATA